ATCAAAAAAATTCTATTGTATATGTATAACGAAATAATTGAAAGTGAGAAATGAGCATAAAACCAAGTCATATATCCTTTTATATTTCTCTAAAGATGAATAGTAATAAACCACGAGAAAAACATATGAGTTGAGGTTGAAATAAAGTTATCAAACTAAAAGTAAATAAATAAGTGTAAAAGGTAAACAATTTTATTTTTTTGGTAGAAAACGAATAAAACATCTATAGATTAATTTCAACTAATAAATAAATCTACGTGGGAATCGAACTCACATCCTTTGCGCGTTTGCACAATGCTCTACCAATTGAGCTAGTAGGTTAGTGTTATCAATCAATGTTACTCAAAGGTAAACCAAACGATCTCAAAGTAAATCTATGCCCACATTAGTTGATAATTCATCCCACATTAGTCAAACCGATACTATGCCTTCCATCTCACTTTTATCATGCTAACATAACAACACAATAAATAATGCTAAAATGTTAATCCAAATATCATTGAAGAAAGTAAATAATAATATAAAATATCATTGTTCGGCGGTGGTTGTGCTTGATATATCAGCTAACAATTTGTCTTGGTGAATTGGGGAAGCTGGTGTTGTTACAACAGCTTCAATCGTCTAAAAATTCACTCACAATTTCTATTTTATGGGAGATGAGCAGTTATACTGGTATGACTACTTTGTAGTTGGATAAGAATCAACTGTCATGCAAATATGATCCATGCCTCACTTGACTAATTAACTCCTTCAATATGATTTTTGCACAAGGGTAGAGTACTATGCATCATATGTCAAAAGTAGATAAAAAATAATAAAAAGTAAATAAAAAAAGCTCAAATGTGGAGTAAAATGAAAAAAATTATTTAATAAATAACCTGTGTGGGACTCAAACCCACATCTTTTGTGCAATTGCACAATGCACTACCGATTGAGCTAGTAGGCTATTGTATAGTAAGAACAGTTCGTAAACTCAATTGATCATTTTTTATAAAAGTAAATAAAAATTACTTAAAGTAAACAAAAACATCTCAAAAGTAAATTAAAAATCTTAAAGTAAACAAAAACATCTTACTAAACTTGAACCAAAGCTAAAAAATTGAAACTTGGATTACTTGAATTATTGAAGAAAATTAATTAGTTCTACACACACTCTCTCTAATTAAGCTAGTGGTTATGCTACTATTGTGCATGTTGTCTCTACTGTTGCATGTTCAAGGCCTTACTGCCAAAGCCTAGGGGACCTTTTGCTTAGCAGCTACTGTAGTTGCTACTATGCTATGCCTATGCTGTTGCTGTGGGCTGCTTATGGAGCAAGCCATGGCAGGCAGCAGCAGCCTTAGCAGGTGCTGCAGCAACCTTGGCAGGACCTATAGGGCAGCGACAACAACCTTGGCAGGGCCTGTACAGCAGCGGCAACCTTGCATTGGCAAAGCAGCAGCTGCAAGCTTGGCAGGGCCTCCAGGGCAGCAGCTGCAGCCTTGGCAGGGCCTTTAGGGCTGCAGTTGTAGCCTTGGCATGTAGGGCAGCAGCTGTAGCCTTGGCAGCGTGGCAGGGCAACAATAGTCAACCTGATCATTCTGCTACCCTAATCTGAAATGCCTAATAGTTGCACGCACGCGCGCGCGCGCACACACACACATACAAGTGCACACATACACATACATTGAGCTAGTAAGATGAATTTATATAACTAGCAGCAATGCAGCATGAGTGCATGACACAATGCAGAACCAGAAAGTACAATCAATTCCATACATCAATAAATTTCAACCAAAGTTAACATCAATAGTTCATCAATACATTTCAATATATATGGAATAATCTAACCACAAAAATTAACCAAGAAACTAATAAAACGAACCTGTAACTCCGGGGGCAACGACCCATGGAGTAGATAAATCACAACATCCATTACAGAACCTTCCTCTACGCTTCTAACTTGATCCTCCAACTTCTACACCAACTTCTCTATATCCTCTTGGCCTGTCATAAAGATCAATATATATTAAACGCTTGAAGTATAAAAATTACTTAAAAGTAAATAAAAAAAACCACAAAAGTAAAGCAAAAATCTATAACCAATTAAATGGCATAAATCTCTCATGATTCAATGGGTAGCAACAAAAATAGCCAACAACAACATTACACCAATAATAAACTGTGCTCATGACTCCTATTATGGCACTCTAATAATGTAAGAAGGTTAAATTGTGAGTAGGCTAACAAAATCACAACAACATGCTACTAATTTAGAGAAATCAAACAAAATAAAAAATCAAAACTCTAATTCAAATAGATAAAATGAAGACCTAGTTTTCGAAATACAAGAAAAGCAGTAATACAAAGTACATCAATCGAATTCACAAATACTGAAACAAAAAAATGTGAAAACCCTTGTTTTCGCAATCAAAATCACGTAATATAAATTAAAAATTCAAATTAATAAGCCAAACTCAACAATGATAATCAAAATAAAATTAACTTGTTCAAAATAACCAACAAAAAAGACCCAAGAGCAAATTCAACGAATTTGTTATGGTTAAACAGGAAAAAAATCGCAAAAACGCTACACATTAAGAAGGGAATCTTCCGAGTCTAGGGCTGAATAGGGATTGGCATAACCCCCCAAGGTCACTGCCATTCTGGAGAAGAACACCGCAAAAGCCAGATATCACAGAGTGGATGCGTATAACCGCTGATTGCATATTTACCAAGTTATAATGGAAAGGGGAGAGCGACTTGGTAGAAAAGGAGGCCATAAACATACTGTTAACTTTCAGTTGAGAACGTGTACATGCAACAAACCACGGATATTCCATCTCTCATGTTCTCATGTTCCAGTGTGACACTAGTATCCGCTTGCATGACATTGACCGTCGGGGAAAGGGGGAGACAGACTGGTCAGTGGAGCATAGGGTTTACATTGACCTATGGCAGCGACGGTTGGAGTTCGTCGTTGCAGGTGATCCGATCCAGGGCGTTATTGACCCTCACGATCCATACATGGTTTGGTATAGGCGGATTACACGGCGTTTCATCAACCCCAGCTACACCCCACCATCCACACATTACCATCTAGCCTTTGACGTCGTTAGCGGATATGTGAGTTTATTTAATCTACTTATTTTCATCAATTTTTAAAATTCTATATCATACAACTGACTGATCGATGATTACTACAGGCGGCGGGTATGGTGGCGATGGTTGATGCACTATCAGACGCCCTTGCAGACGAACCCACCAGAGCCCAGGTCGAGCGGGTGCGAGGTATGGGCGTGGCTACCTTGCAGAGATATGGTCACGACTATCTCGTCCACCCGCGGGATGGTCATGATGACCACTCCGTCCATTCACAGTTCGAGTTGGCCAGAGTAGCGGTGGAGGTGATCCTACGTCACCCAGAGTCGCAGAAGATTACATCATCCATAGTTTTACGCCCGCCCCTACCCAGGAGGACTCATCGTCTAGCCAGCAGACATCCGCCACCGCCCCGAGACCCATTCACCACCATTACTCATTACAGGCGGCGTTGTGTCAGACGGAGGGACGACAGACAGGATAAAGAACCGTTACCCCGAATAAATGAGTCGGGATAGTATTATCTGATTTATTGGCTGTAGCCGGATTTTCTAGAATGATGTATATAACACTTACATTATTAATATAATAAATGTTTTTTTAATGAATTTGTGTGTGGTTTGAAGTTTAATTTCCTTATTTGTCCAAATCGGACTTACGTCAGTCAAAATAGATCATTCTAGGCCGATATATATCAAACACAAGACATTTGGGCTCCATAAAACGGAGTAGAAGCGATGACCGGTGGTGGTTAATGTAGTGGTTCATGGTGGTTGTAGTGCTGTTGGGGGTGTTTGGAGTGTTTTGAAGTGCTTAAGGGTGGGCGAAAGTCTCAGGAGGTGGTGGTCGATGGTGGTGGTAAGGTTGGGGTTGGTGGTGGGGGTGGTTGTAGTGCTGTTGAGGGTGGTTGGAGTGTTGTGAAGTGCCTAAGGGTGGTCGAAAGTGGCGGGAGGTGGTGGTCGGTGGTGGGATAGTTGGGGCCGGTGGTGGGGGTAGTGTTGGATGGTGGTGCTTGATTGAAGGCTGGGGGTGGTGTGTTGGGGGCAGAATTTGGAGTGGGGAGGCTGCTGGTTGCTGCAGTCTAGCAGAAAGACAGCAGACAGCGTTTTATGAAAAAAAAAAATTGCACATAAAACGCTGTCCCAGACAGCGTTTAATTCAGTACATAAAACGCTGCCTGGGACAACGCTTTAGTGTAATAATTATTTTACTACACTTCCCTCTCTTTTGCTACTCTCTCTTCAGGTACCATCCTTTTTATTTTTTTATTATTTATTTTTATTATTATTTTTTTTATTTGGGGTGGTTTATATTTTATTTTTATTTTTGTAAGAATTTGATATTGACGGGATTAAATTTCAGGTCTTATTAATCTCACCTTTTGCGACTTTATTATTGTAAATTTGATGGTGTATAATGGATTTGGAAGTGGGAATATTCGGATATTCTTATATGGATTTTGGCTGTGATATTGGCTTGGAATGAAGGGCTCTAATGTTTGATTGAAGATATGAAGTATAATATATCAATAATTAAATCTGTGCGATAATGTAATTTTCTGTTGCTACTTGATGATAGTGACATAAAATATTGGTTGGTTTGTAGTTTATTGGGAAATGACATTAAAGTCGTTCATTTCATGCTTGTTATGTGGTATATTAGGCAGTGTTGTAGCTGGTATTCCCTATTTGTAAAATCAGTCTGGACTATTCCGAAAAGAGAAGGCGAGTTTGAATTACGTAACCCAAATGAGGTTCTCCCAAAACTAATTATCGGTCTGATCAGTATTACACTTCTTAGCGCAGGACAACTTACATGTGTGATGTGCACATATTATTCTTACCCAGTGTAGGACAATTCACATGTGCACATATACATTATGGAGTCTTAATACTTTAGCTTACCTTTTAGCTTCATTTAGTGGGTACATTAATACTGTGATAAACAATGTGCAAGGCCAAAGGTCATGCAGGTAATGACAATAAAGTATTTTATGATGAGACCATCAAGTTGATAATTGTTTATTGTGTGGTGGTGAAAGTGATTGCATCAAAAAAAGAAAGTGATAGAGATTTTTTATTTTTTATTTTTTATTTTGGCTGATTACATTGAGCAGTTGGGTTTGATTGCTTATTTCACTGTACCGTTTTTTGAGCAGCTATCAAAGGAGTCTTTTCGTGCTCTGTAGTACCGGGTATTGAGTTCTAGTAATCTTGATATTGTTTTATTCTTGTCCCAGACATGGATACTTCTGCTGGTCAAGGACTCTACCCGCTGCACCACTGCAAAACTCTTCATTTGGTGTGTTAAACTTGTATTTCTTCCTTTTATTTTCTTGTATTTCTCTCCTTAGGTATGAGAAGATTTGTATGAGAAGATTTAAGTGGGCTGATTCTTGTATTTGATGAATGGATGTATGATTTTTACAGGTAAGGCATGCACAAGGATATCATAATGTTGCAGGAGAGAAAGATGTCAAGGCATACTTATCCTATGACTATCTTGATGCTAGCCTAACTTCTCATGGATGGGAGCAGGTTGCACATCAATCTTATTTTAATGATCGATTTTTCTTTCACCCCTTCTCTACACTGTTAAATAAAGTTCAAACTTCATGATATGAAATTATTTTGTTGTATTAAATTTTTTTTCCCCTTTGGTGTAATAGGTGGATAACTTGCGGAAACATGTCCAAGGAAGTGGACTATCCAAGAAAATTGATTTAGTAATCACATCTCCTTTGACAAGGTATGCATCTACTAAATTTCGAGAGTTGCTTGTGTTCAATGTCGTGTACTTTTTTTTTTTTTTTTTTTCTTCATGTAAGCTTCGAGAATTTACTTAAGATATTACTGTAATAATGTGCTAAATATCTCTGTTAATGTGCCAATTTCGATGAGGGCGTGAGTATCTTGGCAAAATTGTCTTTAGCCTCATACATTAGTTAATGAGACTAAGAACAGGGACAATCCATACCCTATGTGATAAGCTGGTTTTTATCTGATGGAATTCCAAAGGGATTTGCCTTCATCCTTTCCTGAGGTGCAGTACTGCTGCAAAGGGTAAGAGAATGTAGATGCGTGGAAGAATAGGAGGGATAGATTTCCGGACTAAATTCTCTCAAGATTTCATGAACACGGAAAAATGTGAAAGATGAATAAAATTTGCTTATTGAAGACTCCAATGAGTTTGAATTACTTTTGGTCATTTATGGTTACAAGTTCAATAATCATACTCCAAATTTATCTTGTGTCCTATCTCACGGGCCCTTGCGATTCTCTGTAGGACCATACAAACTGCAGTAGGAGTTTTTGGAGGTGGTAGCTATAGTGATGGTGTAGATGTTGCACCCCTGATGGTGGCAGACGCAGGGAACAGTGGCCGATCTGCAATTTCAAGCTTTGGCTGCCCTCCTTTTCTAGCAGTTGAATCTTGTCGAGAACACTTGGTATGTCATTTAATGCTTAGGTGGAAGAATTATTGCTGAATTAAATAAGTTTTGTGCACAATTTTTTTTTTTGTCTCTTTATCATTTTAAATTTTGACTAGATGTTCGCATTTAAATTGAGATGACACCATTGCTTATAGGACATTAAATATCATCCTTTGCTCCCCTTTGGATATATGATTCCAGATTTTTAATTGTGGTTAGCTAAACTTTTATATTAATCATGTCATCAAATAAGTTTTAGTATCTTACTATCCTACCCTTAAATGGGTGGTGAAGTTTTAAAAAGATTAAACTTTTGCAGCTTCTTCAAAGTATCTTTTTTTTTTTTTAAGCTTTGAAAAATGAATTGATTTGCAGAACTGATAAAAGATTATCTAACTTCCTAGGAATTCAAGCTATTTGTTTAATAGAGTACAAAGAATATCAATTGTCTATGTATCAGAATAACTAAACCTATACACATATTTAAAATATGTACTAAAAATTGGTGGGTTATTGAAAGTTATATGAAGAGTCTCTATAGAAAAGCTAATGGAGTAAACTAAATTATGTACAATTGATAGATAAGCAAGCCAATATAGTCTCTGCTTCGATCACAAAAGACTTAGATAAATCAAACTTCTTAGATTCAAACCGTGTTGATACTCAATTCAGTAGTTGAATTGGTAAATCATTACCGCTATCAGTTGGTCACCTGGTTTCTAGATCACTAGAAACTTATAATCTTGCTAAGATAAATCAACCCTAAAAAACTTGTATCATTAGATCAATTTATACACTTAAGACCGCTAGGATGAGCTACACATTCCTAGTAATCTCAAATCATTTGCTCCAAACAACTACCTAATGGTCATCTATCATAATTTAATCACCTTAAACCTATAAGGCTATAACTGTGATCGCAAGCACAATTAGTTAAATTGTATGAACAAACAGACAATTGTAAATAACTTTGTGGTCCATTAGAGAACTAGAATTTAATTTGGAATTCTAGATATGACCCAACTAACTTGTTTGGAAGTACCTAAAAGTTAGAAGTGGATTTGGCCCAAATCCAACCATCTAAACAAATCTGTACATTTTAACGAATTTGAAGTCCAATATGTCATTTCAAATTCTTGAAAAAGTTTCTATATTGTATTGCTACTCTTTTACTCTCCTCTTTTCTCTCTCTTCTCTGCCACCATTAATGGAAGCTCAAATTCCTTGAAAAATTCACTATTATGTGTGATTGTCATGTAATTTTCACGATTATGCTCGATTGTTTTTTTTTTTTTTTGTGCCTTCATGTACCTCTCATTCCTTTATCATACTTCTCCCTCATGAATGATAATCTATTTCCTCTATCCTCCATTAAAGCTTAAAGCTAATTGTTCAAACTCAATCAAGTATATATAATAGCACATCTTCCAATTACCTTGAAACAAAATTGAGATTATTGATATTGGCCTCGATGAAGACAATGAAGATGACGAGAAGCAAAGCAATTTGAGGAGAGAGAAATCAAATTAGGGTTGAACACCACCTATGCAAAGTTTTAATTAATTTGGGGTGAAGAAATAAACTTGCTTTCATACTTAGGTTATGGAGTATTAAAAAGTTTTGAATGTTTCTAACTCTAGAATTTAAATTGCATATTTATCCCGAACATTTTAGTGGAATTGAAATTCTTGAATCTAAATTCTAGTATTTCTGAAACATGATATTTGGAATTGGATTTCCGGAATCTACATCTAGAACTGAATTCTTTCATTTCAAATGAATTCAAGGTTTCCAAACCTTACCTAAAGTTCATTCACGTGAACAATAATTGCTGAATAAAGAAACTTTAGATAATACTTCTCCAGTCCCGTATTACTCGTTACGTTTTGACTTTTCCAACTATTCATACACCTCACTATGACTATATCTTTCGCATATACATAAAATGAAATTTTAGTATTTAAATTGTTGCTTGGTCTATCTTAATGTATATTATCCAAATATTAATCCTCAATAATTTTTACTAATATAAAATCAAAGATGATGGTCAAAATCAACGTTTTCTCCGGTCAAAATGTTGCATGTATTTTGGGACACAAAGAGTATATAAGTACAACAAAGAATCAAGATATACTAACGAGGACTGTATACTTAAAAGGAAGGTAAAAAACTCATTTGATTAGATACACTATAATGTAGGCTTGCCTCTACCATCATCGTTGCTTGTGTCTCCTTTCATTACTTCTAAGTCTCATTGTCTCAAATTAAACTCAAGTCGTATTTCCAATCTCAAAAATTCACTTATTTGTGTATTATGGGCTTGTTTCTCGTAGAAAATGGGGTATTCTATTATCAAAACTAGGTTAGGTCCCATGCCATGCACGAAATTTTTCACTATTTATTACTAGTTTAACACTATATTTAATTATAAAAATATTTATTTCTAATTGCAAAATAAGATGAAATTATTTAACTACAAAATTTTAAAAAAAAATTATATCGTACTAAAGAAAACCGAGGGAGTGTTACATGCACAATTATCAAAATATCATGGATTACGTCAAAGTTAGAGATAGGAAAAAATTATTGCATAGTATTAAATATAAGAATAATATTTTTGTTGAATGTGTATAAATGGAATATAATTACCAAGAAGGAAAATATTATTGCATTGTAATAAATATTCTCTAAAAAAAAAAAAAAGTTGGCAGATAATTTTTTAACCAAGAAATGACATGTGTCATTCCTAGTTTCGCCTTTAATATATAGTTATATAAATAGATGGATAGATTATCATTAATCATTCACTCCATTGTTTTAAGTTATCAAAGTTACCGTTAAAAGAGCATTTGTAATTTTTACATTGAAATTATTGAACACACATACTGTTTTGTTTATCAAAAAAATTAGAGTAAGATTAAACACCTTTTTTTTTAGTAAATATTTTTCATTTACTTCATTTCAATTAAATTTTTTTAATTTAATAAATATATTATTTGAAATATGATGATGAATAGTTTAGGCTAAATCCAATATAGAAAGTAGAGAAGATTGTTAAAAAAGAATAAACATACTCTTGCTATAATTGATTTGCTACATAAATTATTGCTATAATTGTTTTGCTACCACAAGGTATTTTCATTTTAATTAATTCTTTTTTAACCTCATTAGAAATTTACTCATAATAGGTATTTTCACAAAAAAAAAAAAAAAAAGAACACACCAGGCGATGACACGTGTCATTGCTGGTGTGTCTTTTAGTACATAGTTATTGATTGATTATTGATACGCAAACTAAAACATTGACCAGCAAGAGATAAAATTTACCTACTAATCTCCTCATCTTATTCGAATTAATGGATCTTTTGATTAAGGAATCATCTTCTATTGGGAGTTAAGTGAGGATGTAAACATTGGATGGTAATGCTCAAGGATTCAAGAGTAAGGGTTATTTAGTATTATAGGTTGATCCTACTTTGGAATGGATGTATTAACCAAAACGTGACTTATATGAGGGGTATTTTGCATGAATAATATACTTTTATGGTTAAAGGACAAATTCTTTTGGATAACTATTAGGTTTATTAGGAAGGAGCTTATTATGAAAATGGGAAAGTAAGTTACATATGTTGAGATGATGTTTGGTAACATCATATAGAAAAAACTATTTTTGTCTTTTCATCACGGGCTTGTATTCCTTTTTTGGGGGGGGGGCCAAAATGTTTTGCCTATTTGAGAATCTTTCTATTTAAAAGTTGTACTTTTTGAAGATTTTACCGTCATTAAACTTATTTAATTCCTCCTATCTCCCTCTTTGTTGCTGAGTTGACGTCTTTTTTTTTTTTTTTTTTTTTTTTGTTGTTGTTGTTGATGCCTTTTGGCATTAATTCTCAACCACACTTTTTCTCTCTCCCTGTCTCTCCATTAATTCCTTATAACATTTTTTTTTCTCTCTCTTCAGCCCCACATGCACAATTGTTCCTTAATTCTCGTGAAAAAACTTAAACGGGCACGTAGCTAAGAGACGAAGGGAGTATATATTAAGATGTTTGAAGGAAATTCAAAGTGGAAGCCATCAAAAATAAAACGAGGGAGATTTGATTACATTGATTTGAGCATGTGAGGCATAGACTAGAAGATGCAATGGTGATAAAAGTGGAGATTTAGGAGCACGAGTTTCTTTGAGGAAGCTGATGGAGACCAAAGTGACTCGTGTGGAGGGAGTTAGAAATGGTATTTTGGGCTTACAAGAACGTATAGCACATGATATTTAGGCATGAAGGTTGGGGATCTTGGTTGATGAGTACATGGGATAATTTCTTGGTTCATGTTCCATCTTGGGATCAAGGCTCTGATGTTGCATTCTGCTATCGGAGTTCCTTGTTCATTGGTGAAGATAATGGAAGTTCAATTCCTTATTGAGTTGCTCCTCACTATTCTCTTCTTATCTTTTCATTATCTAGTCTCCACTTGTTGGACTTAGATAAATATGGGGTGTGAACTCCTCTAGTTGACATTTTTCCTACTTTATGGAGATGGGCCAAGAATCAGTTGGCCTGTGCTTATTTACATACGATGCTTGCAAAAGATTTTTAGTTGGGATGCTCCATTGTAGCTTTATTTTCTGTTCTAAAACAGCTACGACCTAAAAATTATAAACTAGTAAAACTAACACAAAAATATAATTCTGCAAATAAAGAGACATAAATTAATAAAATAAGGCAAAATCCCAAAATAATATATAATTATAAGTACAAGACTAAACTTAGGGAATAAATATATAGTGTATTGTGCACTTATCTCTATCCTTCTGATTTAATGACCTTCTGCTATGACCTTTACGATATCTGTGTGATAATTGCTGGAATGATGGTGTTTTAAACATGCTTCTCAATGCCTAAGAATCTGAGATTGATGTAATAGCTGTTTTAGAGCAATTTACATTGTTTTGTGGTTTACTTGCAGGGGTTTGTGGGATTCACAATGTTTACTAGCTTCTCTTGTCTACATGGTTGAACTGTAAATCATAGAAAGATAATGTATTTTGTAGGCTGTCTCTTATAGGAGGCATTTGAAAGTTGAATGCCACTATGAAACTGTAGTGCCTCATTCTTTGCTTATTACTAATGTGATTGTGGTTCTCTGTGCAATCTATGATGACTTATGCTCCCTATTTTTGTTTGCAGGGAGTCCATCCATGCGACAAGAGGAGGACTAAGAGCGAATACCAAACTCTCTTTCCTGCAATTGATTTCTCATTGGTAAGTTTGAAAGTAACTTCTTTTCCTACCAAAGGTTTTGGTTATGATTATATGAGAATCAACTGCATGTTTGTATTCTCTTATATGGTCCTGGTACAGCTCCCAACTTTTGTGCGTTCTATTTTTCTTTAATGTGAAATATCTAAACTTCAGATTGAAAATGAGGACATATTGTGGAAGGAGGATGTAAGAGAAACAGATGAAGAACTTGCAGAAAGAGGAATGAAGTTCTTGAAATGGTATTGTTTGCTCATTATTTTATAAAACTGGTGACTCTGCTTTACTTAACATATTAATTACTATTTCATCTATGATTAAGGCTATGGACCCGGAGTGAGAAGGAGATTGCTATTGTCAGTCATAGTGGCTTTCTGTTTCACACACTCAGTGCTTTTGGAAATGATTGTCATCAAGTGGTGAAAGATGAAATTTGTACACAGTAAGTGTTGTACTGCCTTTCCAAACTGTTTGATGATGTACTTTAAATTGATGATATAGCTTAGAGAATTTTGGTCATCGTTGACTTTCTAGCTTAAGCTAAACAATTTTGAAACTAGAAAAAGTACTTATAATTCATACTCCCTTTGTCCCTGAATAATTAACACAGTCAAACTTGGCACACATGCTAATGCATTAGTTTGACCTTACATGTATATAATTATATGTTAGTGAAAATTTTAAAATATTTGATATAATGAAACTTTATAATAATACCTATTCAACAACATATTTCATGATAAACTTGGTTTTTAATACGCTACAAAAGGTCATTCTAGGACGGAGGGAGTAATTTGTTATCGTAATTTACTGTGTAATATGGATTGATTTCTTTTTGCAAATTTCATGATATAGCTTATATTTGCCAAGCAAATTATGAATTCTTATGTACAAAAACTGAAAACTGACAACGGTAACAAATAGGCTCACCGTCGTGGCATTACTTTTTGTAATGTTGATATAAGTCCTGCTTTTTCTTGAAAACCTTGTGGGCATATTGCTTATCCCCACATTGTAACTGCATTTCCATCTAATCATCAGCCTTCTATATTCTGCTGTATTAGATATTAGTCTGTTATGGTCAACAGCTGAATATTCTTCCTGGCATTTGCAGCTTTGCTAACTGTGAACTGCGTTCAATGGTTTTCGTGGACAAAAGGTGAGTCTATATTAACATTTGTTTGAGCATTGTTTCACAACAACCCTTCAACTCATTGTGTTTACGATTATGCTATATCTTTGCACTTTTGCAGTATGGCGAGTTCTGATTCATCAGCAACGAACTTCCCTGGTAAAATTCCCAATGGGCCAGACCTTCCTAGTGATGCTGCAGATGAGAAGCTCACATAGAAGCAAATTTAAAGCCGATACAACACTATATATGATTTGTTGACAGGAAGAGCTGTCTGGTTTGCATGATTGATTGATTATTGATCACCAACACTTTCATCTTCCCTTCATTTTATATTTGAAATTGAGCAAGTAATACAAGTGAGTTTAATTGAAACCTTTCTCATGATTATAACTTGTACTTCAATGTTTCCAAACGTGGAACATGGCTTTATTCTTATGATCCCGAGTCACCATCTTTATTAGATTCTTAAGTTCTAAATTCATACTTCAAAATGAGGAACATGACTTTATTCTTATTCTTATGATCTTGAGTCATCTTCTTTAGATTCCTAAGTTCAAACTCTAACCTTGTGGATAAGAAAATCCGCTCTATTTTAGTTACAACGTATTGACTTTTACGCTTGTCAATGTATAATTTTAATCAATTTTATCTCTAATTAATCAATTTTATCTCTAATTATAGATAAATAAAAAAAAAATTATTAATGTGAAAACATAAATCGAGACAAATTCAACTAAATTTCACATGACTATATTTTACCTAATATATAAATCAACAAAGGTGGTCCAAATGGAAGAATGTAAATAGTGCAAATTTTCAAACATTGGAACTAAAACCAAACATAAGATTATATATATAATTTAATTTAGATTTGTAAGTTTTAAAAATCTAATTTTACCATTGTGGATAAGAATATTTTACTTTTTTTCGGGTGTAGAGTACACGAGCAAATACTATAGATAAAATTTAATCCCAAGTCTAAAGTAGTACCCTCAATTGAAGGTACTCAATACTTTAACCAAGCAAGTAACCTAATTGATCATTCACATTATGGATAAAGAATGTAATAAGATGAGTGCTTCACGCTTGAGTCTTTTAGGTCATAGCACTACCCTTTTCTCATGTGCCAAACCAACCTGCACACCTACGAACAATCTACAGATTACTCTTAGCCTTTACTTCATTCGATTAACAACTACATAAAATTAATAAATGTGTATATAAATAGACAAAACTATTGTTCCTACAAAGCCTTAAAAAAAAAAAATAAGTAAATCCATCATCTTCTTCATCCATCACTCGCTTTTTATCCATTTAAATCATTTTTTTTTGTCCATTTATTCAAACCACATGGATCATATTAATGTACATATTTCAGTAACGTTTAGCCGTAATAAAAACAGTGTGGTTCTAAAGAAGAAACTTCAAAAATAACCGTCAATTCTGACCTTTAAATTAAATTAACCTTTATTTACGTAGCCCCCGCCATTTCATCTCCACTTTGTCTTTGTCTCTCTTCTCTTTTTCTTCTGGTAACTTGGTATGTGTCAACCTTCTATTTTCTCTCATCTCTTTTTCTTTTTTTAATTTTTATTTTGCTACTATTGTTTTCTCTATTATTTGATTAACATGTTTTTTTTTCTATGAAAGTTTTGCTGCATATTATACTTGTTTATAATTTGAATTGTTTTCAGATGAAACTTTATATTAACTGATCAATGAATTTTGATAATTTACTTCCACAATTAAACAAACAGCTAATGTGTTTTGTAATCTAAAGTTAATAAATTAGAATTGGTTATTTATAATTGATTGTTGTTGATTACTTCACAGTTGTACTAGTATCGAGTTATATGCCTGATTTGAAAATGTTATCTACTCTTTTTTTTTTAGTACGATTTAGTCTATGATCTGATATTTTTTTTGCGTAATTGGTCATCAAATTTGTATATCATTTTAATAACTTTTGGTATAATTTATTTATTATCGGATTATATTAATATTCACGTACTTTATTTTGATTAGTTTTAATGATTTAGAGCTAAAAAGACATCTAATCATAGTATCAAATTTTTTTTTACAAATTTTAGTTCTTGATAAGTATATTAGTGATTGCAATAATGTATTGACAAACATGAAATGAAAGTGTTAGCATGTAAAAAGAAACTGAGGAAGTACTACCTTCCATTCTGTTTTGCTTACTCTATCCCAATTTACTTTTCCCATTTTTTTAATAAGTATTTTCTCTACTTTTTCTTCGAAATTGAGGTCCACAATCATCTACCCATTTTATTGTCTCTTATTTTTTATTTGTATAAATAAATCTCGAAAAAATGGTTATGGTACAAGTAAATTGATGACGAAAAAATTTTATTGTATGTGTTTAATTTATTTTATAGGTTACAATGCAACAGAAGTTACTCCATGATCTTAATTAGTTGATTTTTTTAATTCAAGTTGATGTAGTTGTGAGATTTACGGAAGTACTTTACTTCCTGATTGGGAATTTGACTTTGTTCAGCATTTAATTAAAAAAATTGATTGGGGGTCTTAAACACGATCTAATTAGGATATTCTTTGTGTTATCAGAATAATTTTAGTTTTAAAACGTTATAGTGTAATCATGAGAAAAGAGCCGGGAATATGGTAGCCCATTTCGTGGCATAACATACTACAATGAACTCTAATCATGTTTGATTGGACTCGTTCCCCTAAAGTATTATCATTTAGGTGGAATTGGATTTGAATTATAAAAAAATTCCAACGGTTTTTCTCCACATAGAAACATAAAAATATTAATTAGGGTCTTAAACAATTGCCACTACAATACAGTTAGCTGCTGTTATTCTCACTGTTTCTGATGTCACATTATTAAAAAAATGTATGCAGTGAATATGACTTGGCATTGTCTATTTTCTGTCCATTTTTGAGGAACTTCAAGTTGTTGCCTATATAAAGCTATTTGTTGCACTGTACTTGATCGTAGTCAGTATTATTGTTAATCTTGACTTGAATTTCTTAATTTCTTGTTCTTAGATATGGAGACTGTGCCTAGCTCGAGTTTGTACCCATTGCACCGATGTAAAATTCTCCATCTGGTTTGTCTCTACAAGCTTAACTTGCAGTGGTTTCAATCTCTATCATTTTTTTGTACTACTTTTTACAAATGTACTTGTATATAAAAGGTTTTTATCATGTTATTATAGGTTAGGCATGCAGAAGGAATTCACAATGTTGCAGGGGCAGAGAAGTACAAAACATCTCCAAAACTACTTGATCCTCGCCTCTCACCACATGGATGGGAACAGGTATATTTGTGTTTTGTGCCTTGATTCTTTAAAAGTAGTAGGTTATCTATGGGACAGTATTTGGAGTTAAGTTGGGATATTGTTTTATCATACGTTGAGAATCTCCGAAAACATGTTCATGCTTGTGCGCTACTGCAGAGGATCGAGCTAGTCATCACCTCTCCTATGTTAAGGTATCTATCTGATTTTTCATCACATGGAAAACAATGTATTGTTGATTTAAGATTCCAAGCTAACCATAATCTGTGTTGTTTGGAGTGCTAGATAATGTCCCTACTATTTCATCAGTTAATTATCAGTAATTAAGGAAGTATCATTGTTTAGAGTTACACTATATCCCTCCTTATAGTTAGGAAGGATATGAAGTGTATGGATTTACATGAGGATGAAGCATTGGATCGTACGGGATGGAGGAGGAAGATTTATGTTGATGACTACACGGAATAATCAAATTTGGTTCATGTTAGCCGACCCCAATTATGGGATTAAGGCTTTGATTGATTGATATATCCCTCCTTATACTATATCCCTATTCCCTAATATTCAATCTACTTTGATGTATATGATCTCTATGTATGGAGTATATTTACATTATAAAGTCTTTGTAAATTTTCTACTTTCGACCATTTCTGGAGTTCTTTAGTGTTTTCTTCTCTCTTTGTTAATAGGGAAAGTTATGAGTGATGGGGTGATTCTCTCGTCATTGATATGTCTTTTTCCTCTTGCTGTCCTCTAGATGCTAGTTCTTCTGTTCTCTAATTATTCTGATCCTTAATTGTGTTTGTAGGACAATGCAAACTGCAGCCATAGTCTTTGGTGGGGACAATCATAAGAATGGGAATGGTGCATCCCCTTTAATGTTGGAAAATGGGAAAAATGACCATGCTACAGTATCAAGTCTTAACTGCCCGCCCTTTTTGGCACATGAGCTTTGTCGAGAACGCCTGGTGAGTTCCTTCTTTTGTTCTACTAGACAGTATGATGATGGATTGTTACACTTCTGTTGGGAAGTCCATCTAATGATATATTATCTCTGAATCTTAAATCTAGTTACTAGCTAGAAACACATACTTATCTTTCTTGATAATGCTTCACAGATCAAGGGTATGTGATGAAAGTGAGTTTGTATGAGCCTGTGTGTCTATTGTTTTACTTGTACCTCAATGCATCTGATTTAGTGAAGCTTTGATACAGGGAGTGAATACGTGTGATAAGAGGGGAAGCATTAGTGAGTATAAGAGTCTATTTCCGGCAATTGATTTTTCCTTGGTAAGCAACACTAGCTTTCTTTCTGACTTTGTGTTAACTCTATTGTTCTAGTTGCTCACATTATCATCTTTCCAGTACAATGTACAGTACACAGTCCTGTACTTACATACATTATCAAGGGATACACCTGTATAATGAAAAGTTACACATATACGAAGTATAAACCTTATATGTGGAGCTTGTGCTCTTTCAAGTTAATAGCTGGAGAGAATATGGATGTTTAACTTCAGTTTTCCCATGTATTCAGATAGAAAGTGATGAAGACATCTTATGGAAAGCAGATGTCCGGGAGTCAGATGAGGAGGTTTCAGCTCGAGGAATGAAGTTCATGAAATGGTATGCAACCACTAAGCTAAATCTTTATCCGATTTTCTATCTAAGCAACCAATACTTTTTATGATTATTAGAAATTTGCAAAGGAACCACAATCCCATTCAGAATTTAATTATTTGTATGATGTTTCTCCAGCTTATCTCGGCTGATCAAGCCTGATCCGAGAGAATCTGGGGTAGCTCTCTTGGTAAGCTAGGCTCATGCCCTGTCTTTTGCCTTGGTTTCCAGCAAGTTAATAAGCCTATATCTAGATTAGGCTATAGGGGTGGTGGAGGGAAATTTCTTACATTCCAAAACTAAAGTGGAAGAGACATTGGGTATGTCGTCGTTTTGAATAGAGTAATCTCATATGCTAATTTCATATATGCCCATCAAAAGTTGCCACCTTCTCTAATATAATAATGGTTTATGATTAGATTCCTAACGTACCACCATTGAAATTAAGTGATGAGGAAAGGATAATAATAGTATAACATCGTCTATTCTTAATAGACAATGTTTTGGACAATGAGACAATTAATTCCAGATAAATGGAGTAAATTTCATCTTCAT